ATATATATATATATATATATATATATATATTTTTTTTTTTTTAAATAAACAAAAATAACCTAAAGTATTAGGGGGGAAAATATCTGACAAGCTAAATTGGGTTCCTCCTTACTAATGACAGGATACCTGTAGTTCAAGCTGAGTTAGAATAAAATATATGCCATCTTAGATGTTAAGGAATCATTTTTTTTTTTCCCCACAGGTTTAAGAATATACAATGAAAGATGAGGATGGCATTTAAAGAAGGGCAACTGTACTGGGTATCTATATTACTATAACATCAAATTCAGTATGTCTTTTATTTATTTATTTATTTATTTTCCATCACATGGGTCTTTTTGTCTTTCTGATTGAAAAAGACCAGATGAATTACTACTTACAGGACTGCTGAAAGAAATTTAAAATTTGTTTTGCATTTGTTGTATTCCACTCTTGTTCCTTCAGGGGTCCTTCACACACAGATACATACTTTTTCAAAATTTTTTCTCCTACTTCTCGGAAATCCAAGGATTCCTTGTGTGTCATGCAGCTTGCTCCGGAAACACCAGTATCCATTTCACGATTTTCTGGCTGTTGATCCACACAATGTTTCAATCCCCAGTAACACATTTCTCCACTGTACATCATAGCCAGCAAATGAATGTCACTAAATATTCCTGGGAAGGTCATTTATGATGAGAGATCAGAATTAAGTTTAAAGAGAAATCCTAGTTGTTAAAACTCTAATAAATTCCTTGTCATTAAACATCATTTCATCTCATTTACTTTAATAATAACATCTAGAAATGCCAAATATCACTAATACTATCCTCATTTACATTGTGCTTTTTTATCCCTATTAACTTATAAAAGATGTTCATCACAACAATAAAAACAGTATTATCAAAGAATTCTTTTAAAGAACTGTTTAAGTTAGTGATCTTAACCTTTTGGGGATGCTCTTAAGGACCTCTTAGAGAATTAATTTAATCAGTGGAACTTCTCTCAGAAATATACTCCAAATTCTGTAGCATTTCAAAATACTCATAAATTCCCTGAATCCCACCCATGAACATAACTCTTATTTTGTGGAATACTCTGGGATCATTGATATAGCTATAGTCAGGTATCCTATAGCTCTTATATTTTTCAAAGTGTCTATCAAAATCACATATCATCATGCCCCTGGAGAGGTCATACAATTTCAAATTATCAGAGGTGCTTATACCACAGGATTTTGATCACAAGTTGAGTGAATTCTTCTTTTGAGTAGTTTTTCCAGTAGCCAATTACATATTAACACTTATGGTATATAAAGTATATTGATTTGGTAGAAGATTTCAAAAGACTTAGAGCCAGGTGCAGGAGCACACACCTGTAATTCCAATGACTCAGGAGTCTATGAGGCAGGAGGATTGCAAGTTCAAGGCCAGCCTCAGCTAAGAGGCCCTAAGCAATTTAGTGAGACCCTATCTCAAAATAAAAAATTATAATTAAAAAAAAAGTGTAAATATGATTTGGGTATGAGATCATACCTAGGAGAATCACCAAAGCTCTTTGAGTCTGCTTATAAATCAGAAAAACTGGGATTGCACAGGCCCTAAACCTGGAGTTTTTTTAAGGAACACATGAAATTAAACTGTGTTTCAGAAAACAAAGTCCTATAAAAATACAAGATCACTTAAATTCTTAAGGCCACTAAAATACAAATGAATGGTTTATTCTAATGTACAAATAAATACTTTATTCTAATGTAGAAATAAATGGTTTATTCTAAGGTACATTATAATAAACACATTAGAATTGTGTGATTATAGGGGCTTGAGCTGGAGCTTAGCGGTAGAGCGCTCGCCTAGCTCGTGCAATGCGTGGGATTTGATCCTCAGCATCACATAAAAATAAATAAATAAAACAAAGACATTGTGTTCAACTACAACTAAAAAAATATTTTTAAAAAAAGAATTGTGTGATTATAAACATACCTCAGTGATTATGAGCATCATAATCTCAATTCCTCACCTAATTATGGTTCAACAGAAACTATGACCATGATGGCATTAGATTAACAATTCAACTTTCAAAACCTGTAGTACTTACTATTTTAAATCTACTAAAAGATATTTGAAGTTTCACAATTTTTTTTTACATCTATCACATTCACTTCACCTGAAATTCAGCTTATAAATAGTGGCAAGATAAGCAACAGTTCAATGGAATAGCTGATTCATTAATGCATTTATTAGTTTAAAAATGAAAAAAAAAGGGCAGAATCTGAGATTTGCATTCATGAAAATGATAGGCTACACTATATTATATATATATATAATATTACATATAATTATATGTAGTATATAATCATATATATTATATATTGTATATAATTATATATAATACTATTAAATAAAATATGTAAGTACAATGCCTATTACATATAATAATTTCTTTTTACTTTTTTTTTTAATATTTATTTTTTAGGTGTAGATGGACACAACACAATGCCTTTATTTTTATGTGGTGCTGAGGATTGAACCCAGGTCCCGCCTGTGCTAGGCCAGTGCTCCACCGCTGAGCCACAATCCCAGCCCCTTTTTACTTCTTAATAGTTAAGATCATAAACCTCAAAGAAAAAGCTAGAGAGCACTATATAATCTAGTATTCAGGATTATTTTATATTAGATATGGCATTTTATTAAACAAATATCCTTTTTATTTGTGTGATCCTACACCTTGAGTAGATAATACTAGAACCACCAGTGTAGGTAAGAAAAGAAAAGCAAAATGGAGGGAAGGTTGAACTTAAAACCTTCAAAAGCCTTGGGGGATGGGACTAACTACATCCCACAAGGTGAAGTGACCTGGGAAAGGTGAGAAGTACCTGCCTAAGGGGAGATCTAAGCTCTCACCCCATTCTTTAGGTAAGCCTCATTTTCTACATTAGCAAGGAGTCAACTGCTTACCAACATACAGATATCCTTTGAGAAGAAAATGATTAGCTATATGTGAAATAGTTCTTACACTTTAGCCTGCATTTGAATTAACTGGCTCACTGCTGGGCCCCACCTTAGAGTTTCAGATTCAGGTATATAAATTTGAACCTAAAAGTTTGTATTTTTTAGACAAATTCCTAGGACCTAGTGATGAGGGCCACAAACAAGTCAAGATGGCACCTGGCAGTATGCTAGGAGGAGTGGTTTGAGAAGTAAAGCCATCAAGCCATCAAGATGATGTTAATTAAGTTAAGCTGTGTACAATTATTAAGATGATGAGGATTTCTAGATCTGGATGATGTTAACTGAAACAAGCTGTGTATAATCAGTAAGTGTATATATACCTCTGCCGTCCTACAATAAATCGGCTCCCACTGTTTCAACCTTCACAAGTTGCTTGTCACACACCCCCACCACCCCCCACCACCCCCCACCCGCTATTTTGCCCAGCCAGCCAGACTGCAGCAACCTAGGACAATGCTGATGCTGCTGGCTCACGGACTACACTTTCAAAGCTACTGCATTAAAATACCAAAGGAAAGGATGAACACATAAAAATTAGGCACTTTCTACTGTCTACCCCAAAAGGAGTCACTTTTCTATAGATACAAGCTCTTTACTTGTCTCAATTTCCCTTGATGTTTTCTTTTTCTATTAGTACTTAGAATGGTTTTTCAATAAAACACTTTGAACTATATGCATATGTGACAGTGAGGAGAGTACACGAGATGCGAGGAGATGGGAGCAGCATAGAGAGGAAGTATAATTGTAACAGTTTGGATCTAGAATGTCCCCCAAAGTCTGTTAAAGGATTCGTTGCCAGTCTTTGGCACTACTGGAAGGTGGAGAAACCTGAAGCTTTAGGAGGTAGGGCCTATCAGAAAGAAATTGGATCATCAAAGGTGTGCCCCTGAAAAGGATATTAAGACCCCAGCCTCTTCTCTTTCTCTGATTCCCAGCTGCCAGGAGCTGAAGAGCTTTGCTTCCTTCCTTGATGTTTTGCCTCAACACAGGCAAGTGACAGGGCTAAGCAATCACTTTCTAAAACTCTGAATCCGGGGGTGGGGGGTGGAAGGTGTGTCTCAAAATTTTCTCCTTTTAAATTGTTTAGCTCAGGTGTCTTGTCACAGTGATGGAAAGCTAACACAATAATAATTCATGAAATGAAGGTGAGTGAAGTAGGATGTCTTCCACAGAAAAAAAGCAAGGTGCCAGACTGAAATCTTCTGAAAGCAGTATAGCACAAGTCTGCCAACCTCATAACAATTCACTGAATTTACTCAAAATAGATTCTTGGCTTCAAATATTCAACCAGAATGTGTATAGGGTACACAGAAATCAGTATTTTCAATAAGTTATCCAACTAATTAGTGATACTAGTTCAGTGTTGAGAGCCACAGCTCAAGGGGCCCCAGCAAACTTTCAGACTGCCAGCTGATGATTGGCTCACAGCGCCCCAGCAACATCTAGCTGATTGGCTCCTCTGTGGTGATGCTCATTGGGCTGTTTCCCCGCCCTTTCAGACTGCCAGCTGATGATTGGCTCACAGTGGCCCCAGCAACATCTAGCTGATTGGCTCCTCTGCGGTGATGCTCATTGGGCTGTTTCCCTGCCCTTTCAGACCACGGAGCTTCTCATTGGGGGACTTTTTTGGCTCCGCCCATGTGACCCAGCCAATCGGCCTCAAGAGCAGGAGGATTGTGGGAGGTGGAGAGGCTTGTGGTTGTGAGAGAGGCTTGTGGGAAGCCGGTGGTGGCAGTTGGGCTCTGAGGGTTTTTCCTGAGGAGCGGTTTTGTTTGGCGTGTGTGGTTCTAAAAATAAAGTTCATTTCTTTTGACAGTGGCTCCTGAATTGTGCCCATCCAGACTGCGGCAGTTCAGAATTGCCCTTTATAGAAGCTGAAATCCAGGTTTTGTATTAAGAAATGGGCCAAAGGGCTTCGGGGGAGGGTCGTTCCTCAGTGGCATTTAAAAAGGGGAACACAGGGGGTGGGGTTGTGGCTCAGCAGTAGAGTGCTCACCTAGCATGTGCAAGGCACTGGGTTCGATCCTCAGCACCACATAATAAATAAATTAATTAATTAAAGGTACAGTGTCCAACTACAGCTGGAAAAAAAATGTTTACAAAAAATTTAAAAACAAACAAATAAATAAATAAAAAGGGAAACATAAACCAAGGATGTGAACACTGGATAGTATTCTGATTTACTCCATTTGATTCCAGGTGTATTCTAATAAAACTATTTTTATAAGCCTTTTATTTGACAAGTACATACCCAAAGATTAAAATTCTCTAACCTCCACTTCAGAGAAGAGAGACTAAAGTAGCAAAGAGGTGAGATAAAGAGGCTTATACATAATCGTTTGGATTATTAATAGCTAAAAATTTAATAACATATAGACAATGTCCAAAGGACAGACAATACAGTTATTTTCCCTTCTAAGTATCAAAAGGAAGTAATCATAGTAAGCACACACTGTGTTGAGTTTTATGTAAAATTAGGTCAATTATCACCAACATTTGGCCACAAAAAAATATTTTGATGCCTCATAAAGAATTTTTCTCTTAAATACTGTAGTCACTAAGAATTGTATTTTAGATTTGCTAACAAAAATAATTAGATCCTCTCTAACAGGGTATTAAGAGAAATTTAGCCTATGGAAAAAAAAAAATGGTTTCCTAGCTCCTAACTTACTCATGTAGAAAGATAAAGATTCAGGTAAAGCAAACTTCTTTGGATGACAACAAGAAGTTAATACCATAAGAGGGATGAGGACTTGGCAAAACTTCTGTGGTTCCTATATTTTCTTTTTCTCTGGAAATTGCTTTAGTACCATATCCGACCCTTTTAATTACCCTGTGAAAGAAGCATTTGAAGCGAGGGTTAATATATTCAAAGCATGACTAAAGAGAAGGCACTAATATATGCCTCCCGAGAAAGAAAATTCCAGGCCACAGTGTATCTTACCTTAAAACCAGATATAGGAGAATAAGGGAAACAGATGACTTGTGTGACTTTCTCTGGTTCTTTCAGTGCTAATCCTCACCTTTTTCTTTTAAACAGTGTTCCAGGTTAAGTATTTAATGGAATCAGTCCATGTAGGACTGACTTGAGGTGCGGGTTGAGGAAACTGTTTAAAAGATCATTTTCAATAACTCTAATTAGTTCATTAGTTATCTGGTATAACTAATGATAATATATATATTTTCTATAAATACATCAAAACTATATTTGTAGGATGTCATGCCCATTGTGTGAACTCTGTATTCACAATAGGTTGTTTTAGGATAAGATGGTTGTCTGAAATAACAGAACATAACAATTTTTAGACATCACTACAAAGTCTTATGTTAACAGTATTTAAATCACCAGTTTTTGTTTAATTAAATGTTTTCAAATAGAACAGCTCAGGAAGCTAGCAAAGTAACAAAAAGAATTAAAATATATTTTAAATTCTAGAATCTTCCTCAAGATATTTTCTTATTTCTCACATTTCATTTCTCCCATAACAATTTCAGGTGAAACATAAGAAATGAAAATTTACAAGTATACTCCTGTGTCAACCACAGCTTTGTGACCTTAAAGAGATCCCTTGATTTACCTGGACCTCAGTTCCTCCATTAAAAAAAAAAAGATATGGTAAAAGTCAGTTCTTTCCCTAACTTCAGTTCAAAATTCCAATGATGCCCAATATCCAGTTCTTAGAACTGTCAAGTGCATAGATATTTGTATGAGAAACAGCTGCCATCCAATATTTATCCTCTCCCCACCTTCTTAGTAAAGAATTTTAATTTGGAATGGTAATTGTTATCAGGTTAAGAACTATACTTTCCAAGTTTCCTCACAGCTAGGTGAAGTGATTGAATTAAACTGGCCAATGAGTGGAAGTACTGTAAGAGCTTCTGAAAAGGTTGTTAAGGAGCTGACTGGGTTAACAAAATTCCCTTCTGCCATTCCAGAAGCTTGAAACACAAGTGACACAGAAGAGGCTCTGGGAGCATTTTGGAATACCGAGCATGAAAGCAGTGTCCTAAACAGGGATACCTCCTGTAAAACTCTGTATCATCACTATTATACTCTAAATAAAGTGCCTCCCTCTGAAGCTTAAGAACTCTGATGCTAAAGAGGATAAAAGGAAAAGATAAGAACATGATGTCATGGAGTCACTATAACCTTAATGGATTTTTTTTTATGTGAAAGAGCATTAAATGTCTACATTGTTTAAGTTACTTCTTATCTAACACAAATAGACAAACCTTGTTCTAACCAAGGCCAAGCAAGAATGCAAAATATGTAAAAATAACATGATACAAAACTCTCCCCAAATTATTAAATAGCAGAGATTAGAAGTACATTACACAAAAAGACTTTAATCTGAATTTCTTAAAAAGATCTGTTATTACTTTTTGTCTATAATCTAGCTTGAAATGTATTTAAAATACAGAGTAAAATCTAACCAACTTTCTAAAATCTTAAAAAACTTTAATTAGAAAATGTTGAAAAGAAAATAGATCACATTACCTGCACTCAGTAATTTAGCTGTGTCTAAGTCTTGAAAAGAAACTCCTTCATTTAACTGGATAGGACACCGATAATTAAGCATTTGTAGTAAGTAATTGATTCCATCAACAAGGTACTAAATAAAAATCAAAGCCAAAGAATTAAAGTATTATATACAGAACTATCAACTTCAAATACTTTTTCCCATTCTTTGCCAGAGAAAATGGGCTAGTATACAGATATATCTAATGGTTATTAAATTTCAATGGTATAAGGTCCCACAACTCCATATTCTCATAATGTAAGTATATTCCTCCAAATAATAATACAGAAAAGAAAATGTTAACCAAGAACACATGCTTCAGTAAAATCCTTATCAAAAAAATACTATTAAAGGAAGAAAAGGATAAATATCATAAAGATGTGTAAAAACAAGTTATTACTGTGTACAATACTAATTTATTAATGTGTACAATACTAACACCCATGTCTGTCTATAATTTGGTCAGAACAGTCAAGATGACTCAAGAGAACCACAACTTTCTAGAAGCAAGGTCATGTGGGCTCTTTAGCAGTAATTTACTGACAGATGAAGGCTTGATCCAAATATTTTCTTCAGACAAGAAAAATTATATATATAGAGATATATATGATTAAGAATTAATATTATTTATTTTATATTAAAAAGTTAAAATCCAGAACTTAAAAAAGCAGGTAGATCCCCCAAATTACAAAGTGCTTTCACATTATCTTATTTAGTAAAAGACCTAGAATGCAAGCCCAGACTCTTTGATTCCACTACTCTTATTATAATAAAGACAGCTTTTTGAAACCTAAATGTCAACAATCAAAAATGTGTAAGAAATGTCTTTTTACCTTTTTAAGCAAACTAGATTTTTTCAAGAGCCACTCTCTTCTTTTGGTCAGAGAATGACAATACATATACAGTAGGGCTCCTCGTCTCCAAGAGAGACATTCAAGTAGCTCATCCCCAAGCAAATCACAAAGCTGAAACACATACACACACAAAGCCAAAAGAGAAACCTGATGTCTTTTGGTCAAATTAGAAGTCAAATTTCAAAAAATTGAGCAATTAAAAACACTCACTTCACAAGAGGTGCCCCAGTTTACTAATTTACACAGGAATGCCTATCTTTGAATCAAGCAGAAATACTGAAATTTATTAGTATGTAAAAATTAAAATAACTTTTACATTTACAAATAGTTTTACAAAATAATTCTAAAAATATTTGAGTAGCAAATTCCTCTAACATATTTGAAATATAGTCTACAGTCTGATTAAAAAGATAGCTTTTCAGAAGTGTTAGTTGAAAAAAGATCATATCTATTTCTTTCAAGTAAAGAAATAAACATAAGAGAATCTAATAAGAATTAGATTGCTAGAATAAAATACTGAAAAGTTATACACAAGAATGATTTTAGTAAACCAAAACTTTTGTTGTGGTACGGCATTTAAATCTTGCAATGATTTGTTTCCATAGTTAGCCTCCCCTAATAAATACATACAGCAAAGAAGGTATCTAGGTAGCAAGTCAGCAGGCACTTAAAGATGAGAAATTATTTGCTAGAAAGATTATCCAGGACTAGCGATATAAGCTCTGCAATCACCTAAACAGAGATGATAGTAAAAAGTATGTGATCAGGTTGTCAAGCAAAAATAAAATAGAGACTATCAGAGGAGAAAGTAATGTCCTTAGGGAGTGGCAATGTTTCAAGAATAAAGGAGAGAGGAGTTGCTTTGGAAAGAAGAGAAGGCTTCTCAGAAATGAAGGAGAAAAGAGCATGCAGGGGGGCTCCAAGGGATGGTATGATCGAAAGGCAGCAATTGTCCAGGTGGATCAAGACTAGAAAAAAGATAATAGGTATGGTAATTAGATTTCCAGGGACCTTTAGAGAAAAACATAGCATGTGCAACAGTACAGGGAGCAAAAGTAGGGAATATCTGTGTTTACAAAGGCATACAATTATAATTCGATCATGCAAATATTCTAAAAATATTTAGTAAAATACAATATTTTACTGTCATATTGGTCTGCAGTGGTAAGCTCTCATACTTCCCTCTTTCAATCTTAAAACAGAAACAAAAATATATTGAAAAAGAAAAAAACAGACACTAAGAGAGCAAGAAAGCAAGAACCAGAAGCATTCCGCAATAACTTATAGTGCAAAACTTACTTTTGGATGCATATTATTTTCTTTAACTAAAATTTCTGGTTCTGAAAGAAAACTGATTAGTTCTTTTACTTTCTGGTAAGAAGAATCTTCAGGAAAATCTTCATCTACTAGCTTATTCTCCTCAAAATATGTCATGTCCAAAATAGCCTAAACAAAAAAGAAAAAAGTATAAGCAATTTAAACTTTAAAGAATTAATATTAGAGTTTAACTTTGCATATGTAGAAGATATATATGTGTGTATATACATATATATACATCTATATCTCATATATACATACATATATCAAACATTCTAGCATGGTAGTTAAATTTGGGAAGTATTCAGAGTGTCTAGCTATAAAAATAACTTGAAATAGGCATTATAGAAAACGTTACAGGTAGTTGCACATGGTGATGAAAATCTAATATCCTAGAGATTTGGGAGCTGAGGCAAGAGGATTCCAAGTTTGAGGCCAGTCTCAGCAACTTAGTGAGATCTTTTCTCAAAATAAAAAAAGGGCTGGGATATAGTGCAGTGGCAAAATACCCCTGGGTTCGATTTCCAGTACTGGGGGAGGAGACAACTTTGTAGGTATTTTATTTTAGTAAAACATTGGGTTAATGGTTATCTTGCTTCTCTCAAGAAATAAAATGAAGATTATATTTTAACATGTTAATCATATATAAGAAATTATGAAAGAGTCATCAATTATTATATTCTTTGCTATTTATATATGTATAATCGCTGAAATTTTTTTAAACACCTGCAGTATTAAGGTCACCACTTCTGGTTTTGTATATTGAAATTTTCAGAGGATTTGTTTTCCCAAATGCATAGTCAGTATTTGAGGACTATATATCCTGCAACTCAATAGTGAATGCATACTATCAACATATGCAATTCAAACACCAAGTCCCCAGCACTCCTAAATACAAAAAACACTCTATTCAAGCACCTTAATATTTTCCAATCCTTTTTCTTTTTTTTAATCTCCTGAATTAAGACTGAGGAAACTCGGTTCTAGTGTCAATTCTACATTAATCACATAACTAACCAAGGACAAGTTAATTTTATCTTTTCTAAGGCTGTTTCTTCACTGGTAAATGATAAATTGGATTAAATGCCTTTCAAAGTTCCTTCAAAGTTTTGAAGATAAAATTAATTATTACATGTAAAGCACTTGAAACATTACCTAGCACAGTTAGTGATATTTAAAAGATAAATGTTATTGTGTACAAAGCCTAAGCCAGGAAAGAGAGATCACCATCCTATGGAAGATGGTCTGTTAATTCAGAACTCAAAGGTTCTAGAAGATGTGGGAAATCTCAATCTGTATCTCTAGGTCTTTTGTACACTTTGGAAACTAAGTACTCTACTTTTTACAACCATTTCATCTTTCTAATCTTATAACAATCAGGAAAAGGCACACAAAAGCACTTTATCAAGTATAATCCAAATGTTAGTTATTATAAAGTTTATTTTTACATCTCAGTTTGTCTCAGCAGTATTTGGGAAAAAAACCAAAACAAAACAAGGAAACAGGTATTGTCCACAGAAAGACCTGAATTTAAAGGAAAGTAAAAGAAAAAAGGGGGAACAGAAAAATATTATGAATGTGTATGAGACTAGCAGGGGGAACCATGTTTAGAATCCTGAGAAAAGGTGAATTTCAGAAAAAAAAATAATAGGACTGTTAAGAGTTCCCTACTCCCTCTGAAGTGTTCAAGCTCTTAAGACACTGAATGTTATTCTGTGTTACCTACACATAAAGGGAAGCAATTCTTTTACCTGCAAGATTTTTTTCCTCACTTTTCAATCAACACATTAAATAAATCCCCCTCCTTTGCATACTGCCTCAAAGTTTCAAGTTACTTGCTTTATATATACTTTTTCTAAAATTATACATTTTAAATAAAGAACAAACTGGGGCTGCGGATGTAGCTCAGTGGTACTTGCTTAGTATGTACAAAGCCCTGGGTTTAGCACTGCAAAAACATAACAAACAAAAGAAAAAAAAAAAAAAAAACTTCATTATTAACTTTGGAGTTAATCACCTAAATAAGTAATCTGCCCTCATAAAATGCCAGAGTCCACATCTGTTTCAGTACCTGTGTATAAAGTTCTAGAAGATTTGATGGATTTGAACATTCTTTCTCTTCTCCACATAAAAGTTTCAGTTTTTCCAGAGCTGCTGAGGCCCGAATTAAAAAGTGATCTGTAAAAAAGTTAAAACACATGATTATTTCACAAATTTAGAGTACATAAGTATCTGAGATGACGAAATAAAACTATATTATAGAATATGAAGAAACAGCAAGCACTATCTTATTCAAAATATGAAGTATAACATAATGTCCAATACTAATTAAGTAAATGTATCATGGAAATTTATTCTGGAAAGCAAAAGACTGAAAACTTTCTGCATTCTAAACAGAAAACTGCTATTTCCTAAGTGCAGTGTATATCTTCATAATGCTTCTTTAATAATGCTGATCCATTCAAAATGCTTAAATAATAAATTTATATAGCTTTTATTATAAGAATACAAATACTTTATATAAATCCACAGAAAGGGCTTCTACTGATAATGTGTGATGTCATAATTGTAAAGGTTTTTTTAAAAGAATGATTTACCAAATCAAATGTTTCATAAAATATCAGCACTATAAACAATTATAATTTAATTATAACCTAACTGTGTTTATAGCTATTACAACTAAAATTATGCAATTGTGTATTTTATTCTTTTAAAACAGACAGGAAACAAATTACCTCGTTCCTTCAAAATCTGAGGAAAAAGGAATAATAGGTCTACTTATCACATTCAACTCCTCTTCCCTATCTACTATTTTTTCTCCTTTTCATATTGTCATTATCCTTTTGCTTCTTCTATGATTTCAGCTATTATGTATTCACACAAAGGCACTATAGATCATTCTATATTACCTCCTATAGTAAACTTTAGATATGTAAGACACTAAAGTCCCTGAGCTTGCCCCTTTGTGTTTCTCCTCTGAAATACAAATCTTTCCTCCTCTTCTAATGGACACATTATATAGCACTTGGTGTGGGCCCATTTGATCTAGACTCAGCAGAAATTGAGAAGATCCATTAAGCTGTTTACTGTCAGACCAAAAGCACCATCAGGATATGTCCATACCATTCATATGATGACCTTAAGTAGTCCCAGTTAAAGACTGGGAAAGATAAAGACCCTTACCAGACTATGACTGCTGTTAAGATTCACTATTTACTTGAACTGAATGTTCCCTATTTAGCAGTCTTCCTATCTGTCCTTGGTCCAGAAGTATCAACCGCACAACCCAGAAAATAGATTCTACTATGAACCCAAATTGTACAGAATATAGCGTTCCTTACAGTGCTTCTTTAGAGATGTTCACCTTTTTTTTTTTTTTTTAACTTGCAAGATTATTATAAGGTAAAAACTTGATTGAATGGATAGGACTAGAGACCATTATGTTATATGAAATAAGCCAAACTCAAAAGGTCAAGGGTCATATTTTCTCTCATGTGGAAGTTGAGAGGAAAAGGAAAGGAAACAAAAAAGGGTGTTGGGTAATGACTGGGGTGGTCTCATGAAAATCAAAGGGACAAGGGGGTGTAAGGGAGGAGGGAAATACTGGGGAGTAATATTGTCCAAATTTTATTGTATGCATGTAAAAATATGTAAAACAAATCCCATCATTATGTACAACTATAATGCATCAATAAAAATATATGGAAAGAGAAAAAAATAAAATGAATATCCTCAGTATCTAAAAAATTTTTAAAAAGACTAAAGTCCCTGAGCTTGGATTGAAGGCCCTAGACCACTGCTGAAGAGTTGACATGACTACTATAGAGATAATATTATAGTGGCGTAACTATCATTTTAGAAAAGTCCATAAAAATGCAATACTTCTACTAGAACTATTCAAACAACCACAGGCAAGTCAAAAGATAAAAAGTGATTCTTATATAATCTCTGGAAAAAGTCCCTCTCATAGAATATTTCCATATAGTAAACATACTGTACTTGTACAATAAGAAAAATATTAACAAATATTGGCCAGAAATATAAAGGAGAGCATTTCCTAGATCGAATAACATCTGATTGTACCTGATCTAATTTGAATAAGTCAGTGAGAACTACCGATCCCTACAACCTAGTATGAACAAATAGTTGTTACATTAAAGGACAATTTTTTAATATATATTATTTTGTTGTGTGGGAAACAAATGCCAAGTTTAATTCAAATATATTCAATCTTGCTTTAACTAAACTTCATAAGAAAATCCTGATAATAATATTTTAATAAGATCAATTTAAATACTGATTAATAGTCCATAATGTTACAGCTACTATTGTATTTAACTTTAATAAACTTTCAGAAAAATAGTCTCCAAATATGAATACATCATACCAGACTTTTATTTTCAGACTTCATTCTATACTGAATTAAAGAATTCCTCCACAGGAAAATGAGAATGACTCATAGGTGCAGTAACAAGTGATTAAAAAATACTCTGTGATCTCTTTGAATTGTTCCAAATATGGCTGGAACTAGAGGTAACTTGGAAACACTTACAGGTAATTGCTACTACTATCCACAAATTATTCATGTGAATCCTAAGATTCACTTACCACAAACCAAAAAAGAAGTCAGCTTCAGGGTGGTCTGTGGGTCTTTGAAGAACATACTCCTGAGAAGAGATAATCCGGTAAACAATCTTCACTGAAACTAAGTCATCTCATCTTAGATCTTATTCAATAAATTCACCAACTATTCAATCACTTGGGAAAATGTCTCACTGTTGTTCTAAAGAGAAATGAGTGAGCCCACAAGAATTTTAAAACCTACCTGTCTGAAGTAAAGGTTCAAATCTCAAAAAGGGGTAATGTAGAACCTATAAGTAGTTAGAAATGAAAAGAGAACTGGACTTGAAGTCAAAAGATCAAAGTAACTCCTAAGTTAGTTTTGTCCAAAGGAAAAGAGCTCAGACTTCTTCAAAACAAGTGTTCTAATATTCACAGAACCCTTGTGAGAATCGAGAAGACACACGTGAATCAAGATCATTTAAATTACACCAATGTAAAGCTCTTCTACAGAATATTATTTATGGTTGCGTTCTAATCCAAAATATGAAAGCGAAAATATTATAATAGAGTAATACAAAAAGTGTAACTGTTATATATGCCTATTTATCTTTACTGGGTGCAAAACTGCTACTGCTTGACTACTATTCCTCAATTTAACTAATTCTTTAAATGTTCGTGTGTATTTTCAATTGACACTACACTTTTTCCACTCGTTACCGAAACAGATCCGACAGCACACATCTGGCTCACATGAAAACAAGAAAGATTTCATGGGTTACGAAAAATGCGGTTTTAAAAGCAAATGCCTTGTCAACGTAAGTTCCTGAGGGAGGACTGTCCACCGCGCGGCACAGGATCAGAAGAACAGGACCAAGGACCTGGGACCCCCCGGGGCCACAGGCCGCAGCCTCCGGTCCTAACAGCCATGGAACACCAGCCCTGAACCACCGTCCGCCCGGCCGCCTCCCTCTCCTCCGCTCCCTCACCGTCTTCACCCGCGGCTTCACTAAGTTGCTGTATGTGGGCTTGAGCCAGGTCCCCCAGCTCCTCCACTCGCCTCACCACAGTTGAGACTGCGGCCGCCATGGCCACAACCGGCGGGCACGCCCCGGCCACGTGACCACGCCAACCCAAGATCACCTGATCCCCCACCTACTGCTGGGCGAGGGGGCGGAGCTCGACTGGTTGCTGGGAGGAGACTTCAGCTCCGGGAGAGAACCGACCAGGGCCCACAAAGGTCGTTCCGGGGTGTTTCATTCCTCCGGACTGCCTCCTCCCTCCCATAATTCTGTGCAACCCTGGCTCCAGGGGCGGGTGTGATGCCGGGGCACACCTCCCTCCTGCCCCCTTCTCTAAACCAATAGGGAGCCACCCATGCCCCAAGGTGAGCCAATGGGAAACCAGCTCTCTCCGCCGGCGCCGGGGAAATGAGCGCCACCGCGGCAGACCCACCAGCCGGAAGAAGGAGGTCGGAATGTCTGGAAAAAGGATCAACGGGTTTGGCTTGGTAGCCAGGGAGGTTACCTAAAATAAAATTATAATCTCTCTGTCAGAAACCGAAAGCCTGCCGGCCCCCGCGCAGCACATCCAAGTCTCCCGCGTGGTCTGGGGGAGGGGGAAGGGCCCAACGGTCGCGGAAGTTCCCAGTCTACTTGGTGGAATTATCCTTTCTAAGGCCGAATTTCAGCGGTTGACTTTGTTTTGCCTCCGTCTTCCCCTAACCTGCGCACGTTTATTCCACCCGTCTCGCTTCCAACTGTAGTAAAAGTTGCAGCTACAAAACTCTGTTATATGCAGTTCTTCTCGAGACCCTTCGTAGAGGCGCTAAATTGTGAGGTTCAGGCTCTCAGTTGTGAGTTTCAGGCTTTTAAATAGCTCTTCTGCTTTGTGTTCCCGGACTGCTTTCTTGAATTCTGTTTTTCAGTTTGGCACAGTATATCCATCTTCTTTCCTACGGGAGGTAGTTTTTTTTTTTTTAAACTTAATAAAAAAATACTTAAAAGTACGGAAATATTGTGTTATGATTTTATAAGTAATTGACCACAACGACTTTCTAACAGACCTGATTTCTTTCTCTGTCAAATCACCTTAATATTGTGTGTTAGTTCTGTGTCCCCAGAGCCTCCTACAGTGCCTAGCACATAATACTCAAAAAATATTAATTTGAAAAACAAAGCAAACCTCCAGTTGTTATAATCAAAATTTCTGAAGGCCAGGAAGTTTACGTTGTATAATCATAGTGGGCCAAAGAAATGTAGTAGGCATCTGAAACTTTGAAGTGCCAAACCTTAAAAGTATATTCTGAGCAAAACTTATAATTCCTATGAAATATTAAATAACTGTAAACTTTTAGCTGGAAACATACTTAACACTGGGAATTATTACTCAATTGATACACTGGTGTGTGCCTATTTTCAAAGAAAAAGTTGGATGAGATCTGAGAATATTATGGAGTATTATGGGGTGTGGTTCAGACTTAATTCCAGACAACAAAATGAAAAGAATGAGACTATTAGCCCCTCCAAACCTTAGCATGATTCTGTGGTTAGTCCAAGACCATACCAAAGCAAACACCCATACAAAGCCCTCTTACCATAAAGTCTTACCATAAAGACACACAGGAAATAGTCAAGTCTCACCAATGTACACTAGACAAAGTGCTCAAAGCCAGAGAACACCTGTACTAGAAAAGAAATACTTTTACTCCAACTCAGTTTTGTTTTTTTTTTTAACTTTAGGAAACCCATATAAATAGAACAAATGACAAATACAATACTAGTTTATTTTTAATTTCAGAGAAATTAATAGCTGAATAATAATGTACCAAAAATTTCTCATAAAAGGAATAATTGATCTCACTGACCCATTTACCCCACCACTGATATATAGTAGATAAGATCCATTTATGTTTACATAAATATAAAATTCTTGGTTATTCTTGAATTAACTTCTACCATTATTTTAGAACCTTCTTTCAATCATTTTATATTTCTGTAGGCATTGAATTTCCTTTTTAAAACTCCCAATGAACAGAGATACATAGATACATGCATATACACACACAGATTTTATTTCCACCAGTGACTTTCATATAATATAACTTTATTACACAATTGCTCCCTTTCTCATTTAATGAGCTATTATTGGGTCAGGCACAGTGATAGGCACTGGAACTATAGCAATAAACAAAATTAACATGATCCCTGCCCTCTTATAGCTTATTATCTAGTAAGACAGTATAAAAATAATAAGAACAAATAAATGCATAATTTTAGAATTGTAGAAGGTGTTGAGAAGGAAAAGTTAAAGGGATATGATTTGGTTTGAGAATCCCTCTAATCAGAGAAGGCATCAGGAAATTATACTAACACCTAAATAATGAATAAAATTAGCCAGTTGAGTGGAGAGCATATAAATCTTCATGCAATCAGAAGAGAAACCACAAGGTAATTTGAATATGGAAAGTTCTATATAAGGAATTATTAAGTATAACAGGGAACTAGAATGATAATGGATTGGCTACTGAGAAGCCAAAAAAAATTTAAATAATAAATGAATGGCAAGTATTGGGAGCAGCTGTTACCATTGGAACAGAGATTCAGACCTTGTAAGAGAACTTATGGCCATGGGTCACTGGTCAGCAGAGAAGTTACAATAGTCCTTGCAAGTGAAACTTCCTGGAACTCCATCCTCTAGAATTTGCTAGAAATCTGTCCTGTAGGTTTCCAGGGAAAGACATTTATGGGAAAGCATTTCACAGTGGGCAAACTGCCTGAGGGGAATGCCAGGAGAAGATGCTGGCTACCATGCATTACAGGACTCCAGTGCCCAAAGAAGCTGCATCTGTGGTAGGAGCCAGATGTCAGCAAGCCATCCATGCTTCAGGAGACTGCCAAAACACACACACACACACACACACACACACACACACCAGGAAATACCTTTTTTCCTCCTGCAAGGCATTTCTAAATCCTTCTACTCTCAAAACTTAACATCATGTCAGCTGACAAAGGAAAAATGATTAAGAGGCCCAGATATATTTGCACAAAACAGGGCAAAAAGATAAAATTGGAACTGAGAGGCAATAAAATCTATAACTGGAATAGTGTGGGAAAACATGTCAGGTGCAATAGATAACACAAGCAAAGACTCTGAATTTTGAAAGAGCATGGAATTTGCAGGAATAAATGAAAGTTAAAAGCTCCTACAATGGAAGGGAAAGTGAAGCAATGTGAGGCCTAAAAGCACACATGGAGGTTACCTGTTGAGTGCAGAGCTCCCTCACAATCATGGAAATGGACCCCAAGACCCGAATGTGAGCCCCAAATGTCAATTGAGCCTGTATTTGGGGACCATGGTGAATTCATTTATTTAATTATATAGTAATTAATAGAAAATTTAATTCATATTAGCTCTTTGGGGACATCCACCCTATTACCAATAGGGTCATCAAAACATAAGAGATCTGGGTCCAAATACTACCTCTGTTCTTTTACACTTACCATATGATGATGGGAAAGTTCATTAAATTTTATAACCCTCCATTTCTTCATTTGTAAAATGAGGATTGTGATAACTATCCTTGAGTTGTTCTAAGGGTTAAATTAAATGATCTTTGTAGGTTGTCAGACTATTCTCCTACATATAGTAAATAAACAGTACATAGTAGTGAATAAATGGTTATTAACTGCTGGCCAACCCCAACTTAATTCATTAAATCATATATTTATTGATCATATGCCTTGATTGGCAAGTTCTGCTGTATAAAACATATACAACAGAGGAAATGGATCATTGTAAATGAATGATCTCCACCCTCAGCAGAGGCAGCTATTTTTCCTTAGATCCATTCTCAGTTCCTTCCCACAAAGGCATTTAAGAACTTCACCACTTATATCCATGGATTCAATAATAAAAAGAAATGACTTGATATATGCAAAAGCATGGATGAATCTTAAGGGAATTATGGTGAGAAAAAATAACAAGCCAGAAAAATTATGAACTGTATGATTATATTTGTTGTTCTTAAAAATGACAGAATTATAGAAAAAGAGAACAGATTGGTTTTTACCAGGCTTAAGAATGGGGGAGTATGAATGAAGGGAGGCAGGTGGTTGTGGTAATAAAAGAGCAGCTTGTGGTATAACTGTCCTATCTGTTGATTTTGATGATAGATGCAAGACTACATGATCATATTTCATAGAACTAAATATACACACACTGTTACAGTCTATATATGAGGTGTCAATCTCATGTGTGAGACAATGCAAGAATGTTCAGAGTTTAAATGATTAATTTCTCAGAGGTGTAAACCTAATTAGCCGATTAATTCCCTTATGGATTAACTGGGTAGAAAATTATAGGCAGGTTGAAAGTGGCTGGAAGAAGTAGGTCACTAGGGCTATGAGTTTAGGATTTACATTTTGTCCTTAGTGAGCAGAGCAGAGACAGCGCGCGGTCTCTCTCTCTCTCTCTCTCTCTCTCTCTCTCTCTCTCTCTCTCTCTCTCTCTCTCTCTCTCCCCTTCCAGGCCATTGCATCCTAACTTGCTTCCCTCTGCCATGCCCCTTTGCCTACATCCCTCTGCCATGCTGCTCTGCCTTATCTTGAGACCAGAGCTAGGGAGTTGGTCGACCATCAGCCGAGCCTCTGAAACTGGGAGCCAAAATAGACTTTTCCTCCCCTGCATTGTTCTTGTCCAGTTTTTTGCTCACATCAACAAAAAAGCTAACACACACACACACACACACACACAAATTGAGTTAATGTAAATCCAGTAAATCTGAAAAAATTTCATAGAGTAAATCAATGGCAATTTCCTTCTCATGATTATCATATTGTAGTTTTGCAAAATGTTCCTTTGGGGAAATGGGGGGAAAGATACAATGAGATCTTTTAGTACAATTTCTTACCGTCACATGAGAATTCACAGTTACCTAAAAATGAAAAGTTTAATGTAAAAAAATGTCACCATATTCCCAGTGTGATACATCATTTGAAGTGACTTTTGACATAGAGAAAAGAGTGGAGGGTTAAGGGGAACTGACTAGTTGGCAGGACTTTATGATCAAAACAACATAGAGAGGGAAGTAAAGTCTATATTTAAGAAAAAAGCCAAATGATTTAGTTTAATGGGAATCTGGAATACAGCTAGTTAAACATTTCAAAATAAAAATAGAAAGGAATCCTTGAGACATGTCTCACAGTTCCTGGAATTGAGGCATTTGGACACTTTGGGGA